GAGAGAGAGAGAGAGAGAGAGAGAGAGAGAGAGAGAGAGAGAGAGAGAGAGAGAGAGAGAGAGAGAGAGAGGGAGGCATGTTTTGCAACAACTCTGGCTCTACTGCAAGAAGACCTTGTCAGTGAGGGCATACTTACTCCCAGTAGACCTTGTCAGTGAGGGCATACTTACTCCCTGAGGGGCTACTCACAATTACCGATCTCTTAAATGTATTTGACCACATCACTGCCCCACCTGGATGCATCTGGCCACACTTCAGTCCCGAAATAACTAAAAAAGTCCTAGTTTGAGAATGTCCTGAGGGCATACTCACACGAGGACCAAAAGACCTTAAATCCCAAAATTTAAGTCAGTTTTCGGCCTACCCACATGCCTCAAACGGTGACCTTAAATCCCAAAATTTGAGTCAGTTTTCGGCCTACCCACATGCCTCAAACGGTGACCCTTTTGTCAGCGGCCTGAGGGGCGGCGGGAGGACCCTTTTTAAGACCACCTCCAGAGGCGGTCTCAAATTACCTTTCGCTTTTTTTTTTTTTTTTTATCTTGTTGAATTGAAGAAAATTATAGACAAAGAAGACAGCCTGCCAAACAACTGGAAGTGCGACCAGAAACATTTACGTTGTAGCGAAGGCCCACGCATTATACTGGTGTGAAAAAAAAAACGAAAACAGATTCCATCTTTTTGTTTGGTCCCCTCCCGCATGACTGGGCACACTTGCCCTGAGTGCAAAGTGTCAGGATCGCGACTTTGTCCTTTCTGGACGAAGTCCGCCCGTGTGACCACACGGGGACCAAATGCCTAAAAAAACCTGAACCAAATGCCTCAAATTTTTGAGACTTTTGGTCCCCGCGAGAGTCTTTTTCTTTGGGTGCTTTCACATGGTTCAAATTTTTAAGAGTTTTGGTCCCCGTGAGAGTCTTTTTCTTTGGGTGCTTTCACATGGCGAATAGGTTGCGCCACGTGTCGTCTCTCCTTGTTGTCTGCTCTCTACAGACGGCCCTCTCAGATTTTTCGAAAGTGAGAACTGTCACTCAAAGGCTTAGGCTTGGACGCCACTGGGCGGCGGGTGGAAAAGCTGGTTGGCAGCAAAAGACAGGCAAAGGAGTTTGGATAGAAATTGGGTCTAGCTCCACTACTCCAGACTCCAAAAAAAGTTTCTAGAGTTGATCTACACGGCTT